CCAAGGTGATGTAGTGAATGGTGGAGGACAGACTTGAACTTGGCTCCATGCAGCCCCTCAGCCTCTCTCAACACAGCTGGAAGCTTGAGCATCCCACTCTGGCCACAGCCCTCCCCACTCAGCTCGCCTCCCTTTCTCCCTGCATCTTTCTCTGCTGTGACCTCTTCTCTTAAGAGCTTACCATTCCCTCGATCCCTCTGTTTTCCCCAAAACCTTCTCTCTTCTGAATCTTTGTCTTCAGTTAGAAGAGTGCACAAATAGATCCCATCTTCAGAATATCCTGTCTGCCTTCCTCCCTGTCTCTTCCTTACCCTACGCAACCAGATCACGTGTGGAGCTGCCTGCTTGCAGTCGCCTCTCTACTGGCTGGATTCTGCCCTCAGCCCTCCGGACTGTGCCGAAACCCGGCAGCCACCTAGGATTTGCCCTTCTTGATCTCTTCTTGCCCTTGCCGGGCCTTCCCCTCATGTCCCTTTTGGCTTCCAGGCCACTGGTGCTCCTCTCTCCTGTCTAGCAGCTGCTCCACAGCCTGCTTCAAGGGTGCCCCTTCCTCTAAGTAGTCGGGATTCTATTTTATAAAGGGAGGGAAGGGGCCACGTCTTGGCCCACAGCCCACACAAGCACCGTTGTGCTGATGGAAAGCTGTTGAATTCTGTAGAGCTGAAATTCTGTATGAATAGACACATTTACAACTTCCTGTCCATTTAGCTATCAATCATTGTAACAAAGGTAGTACTAATAATAACTCGCACGTGGAGCGAGCCACAGCTTACAAAGTGCTTTCACATGCCCTTCAATATCCCTACCTGTGTGCAGTGGAAATATTTTTATGTCTGCACAGTATTAAACGGGCATCATTAAATTCAGCTCACTCTGCCAAGGCGTTGGGGGTTAGCATTACAAATGAGCTGTGTTTTGCTGAAGAGTCCTTGCTTAGGCCCTCTGGGTGTTGTTAGCCAAGATCAAGTCCCCAGTCCCCCATTTAGTTTTACTGGTGATTGGTAGGTTATCGATCCTTGGGATGGGGCCAGATGACCCTTGTTATTTTAATAACGTGTTCCTTTCCTCCTAGGGCATTAGGAGAGTCTAAGGGCTGACCAGATGATGTGGGGAATCTCCATGCATGCAGGTTGAGGGAAAGGTGTGTTGAGGCCCAACTGCAGGATCTAAGACATTTTAGGGCTAGGATAAAGTGTAACCAGATGGACCTAGTTTTTGAAGACCTATATGGGTCACACTTTTTTTTTTTTTAAAGATTTTATTTATTTATTTGAGAGAGAGCATGAGGTGGGGGAAGGGCAGAGGGAGAAGCAGACTCCCCGCCGAGCAGGGAGCCCGATGCGGGACTCGATCCAGGGACTCCAGGATCATGACCTGAGCCGAAGGCAGTCGCTTAACCAACTGAGCCACCCAGGCGCCCTGGGTCACACTTTTTAAAGGAGACTTGGAAGCTTTAAACCATGATGGCCAGTGGTTGTATGTTGTGTGCTGGCTCCCCACGGTGGTGGAACCTGCCTGGAGTACTGTGTTGGTCAGACGGAGTGGTCTGCCACAGGTGGGAAGGAGGACATGGCAGTACGTGCCACATCTTTGCTCTGGCTGCTTCAAGCTGTCTTCAAGAATCGAACTGCTTCACAAACTGAATTGGGGCGATCAGGGGAGCCAGCGAGCTACTGACGACAGGCATTCACGAGATTTCGGCCGTGACGCCAGGCCAGGAGCCAGCAGCTGCTTCCCTAGTTTGGCTTGTTGGGACTTGGCTTTGGAGTTGTCAAACATTTGAGGCCAAGAGCCACATAGATAAGGAGTTTCTGTTGTCCCACAGCCCCTCAGTAGCTCCCCAGGTGCTTGCTCACCACACTGGACAGGGCTGGGGCTCTTTGTGCTTTGTCCACTTTATAGCGGTCTTGCACACCGTTTCTTGTCATGTCCTTGCTGCTCAGGTGTTGTGGGAGGCTTTCGGGAGGGGCTCATGTCTCTGGTGGTGAGTCCTGTCCCTCTCTTGCCCTTGACCCCTAACTCGCCCTGCTTGAGCCCTAGGTCTGACCCTAGCCCTAAAGTCACTGACCTCTGGCTGGGCCTGCATGGTATCGGACGTGCCCAACGCAGCCAGGCTTATGGCTGGTCTGGTGGAGAGTACAGCGCAGTAGGCACCGTTGCCGACCTTCTCAGCAAGCAGATCCTATCACTTCCGTGTCTAGTCGCCATGGGGAGCAAGTTCCCCCTTCAGCGCACACACACGCTTCACCTGAAACCCAGCTCTTCAACAGAATAGTAGCCTACCTCTTCTCTAAAATGTTGGCCCTTTGGAAGACGATGTCAGGTTGTGTTTGGCTAATGTTGTATTGCTGCCGCACACCATTGGAGCAGGGAGGGAAACAGCCCTTACTTCCTGAAGCAAAGCAGCCCCTCAGGCCTGGGTACCATTTTGCTGCTTGTAAATACAGCACTGACTGTGCCTTTCACTCTTTGTGTGTTTGCTTTATGGGAAGGTGTGATGTACAGCTGCTGGAGAGTGCCAGAGCTGTATTAGAAACTTAGCCCAGAAGCACGCTCATCTCTGCAGCTCACTTTGAAATGCATTTTGGAAACTGTACTGATGGGTAGACGGAGGGAGGGGTGGATATGTGGTAAAGCAGCAGGTAACATGCAGGTGACGTGTTAACGGTGGAATGTAGGTGGCAAGTATATGGACGTTCACCGTCCAATCCTCTCAACTCGGCTGCAGGTTTGGAAATTTCCGTAATAAAATTGTGTGTGGGGGGGGGATTACCCCCAAGAGTGACCCATTTTTAATTGAAAACAGGCCCTTGACCAGGGTGACCCCTGAGGCTGGAGAGTGAAGGGGTTGTGCAGATTGGATCCATTTCATTCGGGAAGACTTCCCGTGGGGGGTGGTTTCCTGCCTGCCAAGGCTCAGAACCCGTGCTGTTCATCAACTGGGTGACAGGAGAGGTGTGCAGCCTCCCCATGCATGAGCTGTGCGCCCCGCAGCCAGCCCCCTCCGGCCCCCCGCCCCCGCCTGGTGTAACCCCCCTGGGCCTCACCTCCACATGCCAGCGTCTGGGGGTTCAGCTGCACTCACAGCCTCCTGCTGACCTGGGCCTGGCTTTTCTCACCTTTCCCAGAGGGCTGCCGTATGCCTCGGCACTGCCTGGGAAGTGGGAGTGCTCAGGATCGGCTGTGGCTCTGAGCCCCAGTGCAAGCAGAGGCTGTCTGGCGCGGGAGGGTTGGGAGACTCGGTCTCTCCAGATGGCCTCCCTCCCACCTGCAGATTCTAGGCTCTACGGAGCTGACAGAGCAGAAGGGGTGGGAAGCAAGTGGCAGGTGAAGAAGCTCTTTAGAATTAGGCCCTGACCTAAATTGTGGGTCACACTCATTGGTGGTCTCACAGAAGGTGCTGGGATCCAACTCCTGGGATAACTGGTTCAGGTGTGGGAGTAATGCAAGGCCTCCACCTGTGTGATACCCATCGCCTGCCGCTCCAGTCTCCTGCTGGTATGTAAGTGGGGGCTCAGTCAAGCAAATTAGTGCTCCTTTTAATCTTAGCCTTAGCAAAGCAGCATCAGGAAGGAAAACATGCTGCAATAATAGCATAAGGGAGATTTTGTAAAGTGAAGTGTCACGTATAGCACTGCTTTCTGCCTCTGTTAGTGCAGAGGATCGAGAATCTGCGGTCAGGCCCTTGGTCCCCTTGACAGTTGGCGCGCTCCGTGCTTTTCACCGAGCCACACGTTCACTCGCTCACACTCAACACGCTTGTCCTCTGAGCGGAGTGAGCCTCTGCCCTTGGCTCCTGCAGAACCTCAGGGGAGGCACACCCCCCCGCCCTTGCAGGCTGGGGAAAGGGTCCCTCCTGGAAAGGAGAGCAGGGTGCCCCTCAGCTGGTTGTCCTCTCAGCTCGGGCCTGCTCTGCTCTCTTTCCTCCCGAGAGGCAGTGGGTGCTGGAGGTCAGACTCCCTACTGGGAGTCCTGGCCCCACGGCCACTGCCTCATGGCCTTCCGCAGGACGTCATCTCTGTGTCTCGGCTACATCAGCTGTGGAGCGAGGGTGCTAAAGGTCCCTGCACGTGGCACGGTCGTCGGAACCGCTCACGTTCGTGCCGTGAAGCCTGATGGATATATAGCAAGTGCTGTTCAGTTAGCCTGCGCCACCCTCAGCCCCAGCTCCTGAATCCTCCCGCTCTGGGCTACAGGTCTGGGGCCAGAGCGAGAATTTAGCAGCACTGCACACTGTGGCTGTAACAAACTATCACGGAGCGAGTGGCCTTTAACAACACAGATTTAAACAACAACAACAACAACACAGATTTAGTCTCTTGAATTCTGGAGGTCGGAGTCTGAAATAGCTTCCACAGGGCTAAGGTCATGGTGTTGGCAGGGCCATACTCCCTCCCGGGCTCTGGGGAGGATCCATTTCCTTGCCTTCTTCAGCTTCTAGAGCTGCATTCCTCACATTCCTTGGCTCTCTGGCCTCTTCCTCCATCTTCAAAGGCAGCAGCTAGCATCTCGCTTCTGTTGTCCCATTACCACTGGCTGCTGTGGTCAGATCTCCCTTTGTCTTTGTCTTCTGTGGACCCTTGTGATGGCATCGGGGCCACCTGGAGAGTCCAGGAGATGCTTTCATCCCAGAGTCCTACACGGAGTCACAACTGCAGTCTCTTTTGCCGTAGGAGGTGACAATCACAGGTTCTGGGGATTAGGATGTGGACATATTTGGTGGCCATTCTTCACATGACAACTGAGACAGGAAGAAGCTCTCTGGGGTCCTGGTCCTGTGGTGTCCCTTGGGCAAATTCTGAACCAACGTGGAGCACTGCCCCAGATCTAGCTGGGCCGCACAGGCCTGTGGGCCAGGCCCTCTCTGCCCAAACAGCGCCGGAGGGCACCGTCTGTGTCCTGTCCTGTGGGCTCCCCAGTGCCTGGCCCATGGCAGGGCCTGGGGGGTGGGTTATATGTTTGTGCAGGCAGGCGCTCACGTGCTACGCATGTCCCTTTAGGCCATGGCGAGTGCCACTGTGGAGAATGCAAGTGCCACGCAGGTTACATTGGGGACAACTGTAACTGCTCTACAGACCTCAGCACATGCCTGGCCAAAGACGGCCAGATCTGCAGCGACCGCGGGCACTGCGTGTGTGGACAGTGCCGGTGCACGGAGCCGGGAGCCTTTGGAGAGACGTGTGAGAGGTGCCCGACCTGCCCAGACGCTTGCAGCACCAAGAGGTAATGGCACCCTCACTCCCGCTTCTCACCCCGGACCAGGCCTGTATTCTGGCCCATCGGGCCCTGGGGCTGGCCGGCCTCCGCTGCCTGGTCTTGCTGGGGAGCGAGACTCTTGCTAACAGTAACTCAGTGTTAACTACACGACATATTAAAATAGTGTTTTTGAAACGCTGGTTCCATGGGGATTTTGTAAAAAAATAAAAACAGAACCAAAAAAACAAGATTGCTATTCTGTTCCCAAATTTAGAAGTTACCAGATTACTGAGTTAAATTAAACTGGTTTTGGTACCAAAATAGTGGCTTTTCAGAGCCTTTCGAGTGCTATTGAGTTTTTCAAAAGGGGATTTAGCATGCATCTGTTTTTTCCAATGAGTTGGAGCTCCTCCCCAACATTAACATTTCCCAAATAACGGTTTACAGGACGCCCGCAGGGCACATGCGGCTTTGAACAACCCAGAATCAGAAGGTTGATTGGATGGGAGGGCATCCGACCTAGATAAGGCCTGCCAGACACAAACCACAGAGGCTTGTGAATTTTCTGCTCCACTTAGAGAGATCACGGAGCACTGGCTGTGTGCTGCGGCTGAACGCAGATACCGGACGGCGGGCACCGGGCCTCCGCTGCCTCAGCCACAGGGTCACGTTCCCCAGGCTGGCCTCCCGGCGGCCCTGCCCTTCGCCCTCTGCCAGAGTGCGCATGCGCAGGAATTAAAGGGCTTCAAGGAGCTATGCCATCAGGAAGGCAAGAGTGACCGTTTCTCTGGAATTTTGCTAGAGAAACTGCTGTGTCAGCATCATCCACGCTAAGGGGCCTGAGTGAGGGAAACGGGCACAGATAATCAGAAACAAATAATAATACAGACGTCTCTCTGGCTGGGGAATGCAACTGTGCAATTTTCTTTTGGCAGATTTCCCCTCTAAATGTCTGGCTCAGGCTGATAATGGAAGGAGTTCATGCTCTGTGAGCCCGCCGTGGCTGCTGGTCAGTCCTTGCTCAGAAATGTTCTGGGTGGCAGAACTCCTGCTTGGACGTTTGCCTCAAATAATCCAGGCGTGGGTAATTGAAAGCTGGCTGTAGATCGAGAGACAAGATAGACAGGGCCAGATTTTATTTTGTGTAATTGGAGAAGAGCAGGGGAGAGTAAGGGAGAAGAAAAACAGATCCACTTTAGACCCGCTAAGAGTGGAGAAATAACAGAAATCCAAATAGAAACATCCCAGGGAAGGAGGGTAGGATCCTGGATCTGGAGCCCAAATAGCTGTGGCCATCTGAGCATGGAGTCATAGCATTATCCACATTTGATGGCGGCAAGGGCCCTCCCCCGGCTGCCTGAAGCAGAACTCTTTCAGGTGTGTGCTCCTTGTCCTTGGGGCACATGAGGTGAAGGGGGGGAGGGGGCAAACGAGGACAACACACATGGTATCAATAAAAGTAGATAAAGCTCGTTTTCTTCCTTTCCTCTGGAGCCACAAGTCAGTGTAGGTTTGGCATAGGTCAATTAAAAGACCCAACAACCTTTGCTTTAGTCAAAATGGCACAACCCTAGCTGTAAATATTTCAGACCTAGAAAACATAGCACTTCTTATCCATTAAGCAATACCAAAGAAACAAGGAGAGCAAGGAGATGCCATAAGGAAACCACTCTTCCTTTTTCTTTATCTCTGGGCCACAATGACCCTCTGTCTCTTTCTCTGCCCAGTTGCAATTGTTGTTTTAAACAAATTCCCTTTGATAGTGACTGATAGCAGGCTGTTTTTCTACACTGTTTTGCCAAGAACCACCAGGTTTTGAATGCCTTATGTCGTTTTTTTTTCCCCTGGAGTTTCAGAACAGCCAATCTCTACTTTCTAGCACTAACCAAACATACCGGTACTTCACCTCGGGTGAGGTCACACTCAGCCTCAGCTGATTTTAATTAACAGCCTCTCTGAGTAAAGTCTCTCTCAGCAACTTGTTTGTTTAAAAGGCCAGACTTATTTTAACACATGACTACAGTATATCACAAGTTTCAACCCAGTGCGTGGAGCATACAAGTTAGACTGATATGTCCACATGGATAATTAGGGAATGTTTCCTGGACATGGTCCTGTGGTTTAATGTGGTTTAATGACAAGCGGGGTTGCAGCTGGAAGGCTCGGGGAACCCTCCCTGAGACGGAAGGTCGGCTGGGGGGCCACTTGCAGTATGTTCATCCAGGAGGCCCGAGGAAGGGCCTGAGCTAAACCGCCCCTTCCTGGCCCCCAGCCCAGTCTCAGTGGCCTGCCCTCTGGGACTCCAGCCTCAGGGGAAGGGCAAACATTACCAACTTGTTTGTAACTCCACACTGTTTCCATGAAGTCCTTCCCAGGAAAGTGGGATTTTTTGGCCAGTTCTGGGGTAGCTGAATTCTTAAGTCTTACCCGCTTTCTTCCTTAGCATTCAGAAGGGGGAGTGAGGACTTGGGAGGGGCTTCCTGAGAGGCTGGGCACCTGTGTGCTGGACCCTCTGCCATCACTTCTCCCAGGCCCCATCGCCTCCCCATACACAAAGGGGGTCCTCGTGAAGTACTCTCTGACTCCCTTCCCGTGCTCCCTCCATAGTTTCTCTCCTGGAAATGTAGTAACCGGCCTCAGTCTCAAGGAATTAAAAAAACAGATGATGATAATGAAGGCCGTGCATTGTGGTTGTACATCCCTCTATATTTTTGCCAGAGAGCTTTCCAGACACACAGCCTCGTTGGTTCCCACGGGCCTGTGGGGTGAGCAAGGCGGCATGTCCCCCAGGTCGCTGTGGCTCTGTGGGGTCACCGCCTGCGCTCTGCACACTAGGCTCTTGGGCCCTCACTCAGGCTCCTGAGGAAGCCCCTGTTTCTGGGGTGCTCACCTCCCCTGCAGGCCACCGGGAACCATGGGTTCCCCACTAAGTCCCTGAGAATTCACCGACAGCTGGTTGTTTTGCCCCAACCCACTCCTCCCTGGGGTTCTGTGCTCCCCCCATCCCACCGTCCCCCAGAGGGGTCGGGGCCCTTCTCCACCACAGCAAGCTTTACAGACCCTTCGTCAAAGCTTCGCTACTCTGGCCCCACCTCCTCAGGAGTCATCTTCTCCCTGATGTAAACTGAAGATAGATGGGGAATATCTGGAGCTGGGTTTGACTCTGGAAAGTATAAGTACTGATCCTTAATTGAGCATCTTTGTTAAGCATTTTCACACAATGACAATATCTGACGTAAACTGTGCACCTGAGGTGGGAGGAGCGGGGCTCAAAGTGTCTCTCTTTGGCCCCTAACCCGATTTCTCCAGAAGGCACCTGTTGAAATGTAGGTTTCCTGGGAGGAGGCTATCACCCTATATCCTATACCAGAGTCTAGTGTAGACCAAGTCACGGGGGGTAGCCCAACTCACAGGCAGGCTCCTCTGGGAGGGAGAAGGGGCTAGTGCCTGAGGGTCTCCTGGACAGTGGTTTACCGTGCTCACTGTGAAGCCGAACCCAGAGCCCAGGCTGTGCCCTGGAGATGTGGATCTCATGGGGGTAGTCAAGCCCTAGAAGCAGTGTTTCCTGGAAAGGCCCCTGGAGAGTCTAATATGTAGGAGAGTTGAGGGCCCTGCCCTGGCAGGAATCTCCCAGTGGCATCCAGGGAATTGGGGTAACTTGAGGGCATCAGGCACTGGCCGAGGGGGTGTGAGGACCCCTCCGCAAGGCCCAAAACACCATTTCTTAATCACTCTGAAGTTCCTGCTTGGGGCAGACTCCTCTCCGGCATCGGATGCAACAGAGTGCAGACGGGTTTGGCTCCTGGTGTCTGAAATTGAAAGGTCTCCAACCTGCAACTTGACATGGAGACCAGACATGCCTTTAAACTCACATACATTCCTCCGAAGACCCTCCGGCTTCCCGTATAACAGCAGTCAGAGGCCAGCAGAAACACTGACTGAGGCCGAAAATGTGAAGACAGGACGAAGTTAGAGCCTTCAGGGGCCCAGGCCTGGCGGGAGGGCGGGCCACGCGCCCGTGGGAGCTCAGCTGCTGGTGGGGAGCTACCGCACAACCTCTAACACCCGCATTTATCCCCTCTTCTCCAAAGAGACTGCGTTGAGTGCTTGCTGCTTCACTCAGGGGGCCCGGTGGAGAACCAGACCTGCCACAGCCTGTGCAAGGATGAGGTGGTCACGTGGGTGGACACCATCGGTGAGTGTGCCCCAGCGGCCCTGGCAGCCAGCCCCTTCTGTATCTTGGCAGACACCTCAAGGCTTCCTCCCCGGGGGGACGATTCATCGGCAGGGCCGCCTGGCGGGGAGCAGGGCAGTTCTAGCCTTGCGTTAGGAACCACAGTGTCAGGGTCCTGGGGACTACGGGGGGCTCCCCAAGAGGACTTGGAGTACCTGTGCTAGGGCATAAGTTCCAGGCCCTCTGCATGTACAACCTTGTTCATAACTCTCTGTGCCATCCCTGGAGTCTGGCCCCTTTTTTTTTTTTTTAAAGATTTATTTATTTAACAGAGACACAGCGAGAGAGGGAACACAAGCAGGGGGAGTGGGAGAGAGAGAGAAGCAGGCTTCCCGCGGAGCAGGGAGCCCAATGCGGGGCTCGAT